TCAGAATTTCCATACAAACAAAAAAGCTACCTTAATAAATACTTATTCACTTACATTTCTTATCAATACTCTCTTCCTCATAATCTCAGTTGGCTTCACGATTAAAGTCTTATTGAAAGTGGATTATTGGAGTGAGCTATATAATCTCAGCTTAGACGGTGTCTCGTCTCGTTAGTTCGTGTTTAAAGACTGTATTTCCTGTATTACACTACATAAGACCGTAAAAGTGAGCGACAGATAAAAAAGCCATAAAAAATCACAAAAATTTTGATTAACAGAAATATTCACAGAACTTCTATAGACACTTGTTGATTATTAGAAAATTCACTACAAATAATTAATATAATATTTTAATAATGTACAACAACGTTCTAGTTCTAATGAAACTCAAACAATTACGAGTAACAACTAAATTCCTGTCCGAAATTTAGATATGAAATCGATTAGATAAGGATACGTTTTATCTATGGTGATTTGGAAAACGGAAGATTACGTTTTTTCGGTGCGATGAAATTTTGTGATTTTGAACGATAAGCGATCTTGTATTTTGTTTAAATGATGCGTTCGCAGATGCTTGGTGTTAGTAGGTACCTACTCATCCAGGTAGGTACCAGGCTCATCGTGACTGGTAAAGTAGATGGGAAAAGACCTCGGGGGCGCAACCCAATACGTTGGCCCGAACAGATCCGCACCGCTCTTGATTCCACATTTCACAACGCCCTCCACACCGCTAGAGACAAGAATGGATGGAGAAAGATCGTGCGTGCGAAGGTGATACAAAAGTGTGGTCACGACCCTCAGCAATGAGGAATGACGCAAGGAGGAGGACTCATAAACATCAGAACAAATTCTGTTAGCCGTCTGAGCTGTACTAATATTGATTTCCCTTTTACCTCCGTTTATTTGGTTGGTGATACCTCTTCAGCTTACGACAATATTTTAGATGGTTTTAATCAAACACCCAATTTCTTTTTATTGCTTAGATGGATGGACCAGCTCACAGCCCATCTGGTGTTAAGTGACTACTGGTACCCATAGACATCTACGATGTAAAATGCGCCACCCACCTTGAGACATAAGTTCTAAGGTCTCAGTATAGTTACAACGGCTGCCCCACCCTTCGAAACGATACGCATTACTGCTTCACGGCAGAAAAAGGCGGAGTGGCGGTACCTAGCCGTGCGGACACACAAGAGATCCTACCGCCAGTATCTAAGTAATAATTTTTTTTTATGATCATCATCGATTTTTTTATTTACTATCCAATTTTTAATGGTCCATTAATGGTACTTAAACCAAATAGCCTTTCCCCCATCGATATACACTTTCATAGTGCCAAATTCATTTATTTGATTTTTAATATGAAACCCCATTTAATGTCAATTCCCAATATGATTCTAGACGCAGTGGGAACTTGCGACGTCATTATCTTTTTTTATTGCCCGTGTAGGCAGACGATCATATGGCTCACCTGGTGGTAAGTGGTTACCATCGCCCATGGACTTTAGGCAATGCCAGAGGTAGAGCCAAGCCGCGTCCTACCGTTAAGTACTTTCAAAAACTGTGGAACGCTTCACGATTTGGCGTGTCATCCTTCTATGTATCAGCCACAACTCTAAAATTAGTTCATTAAGCAATTTTCAAAAGCGTTCCAATAAGATTTAAATGAAAGGGGCCCGAACTCAACACATGCTTCTCAAATCATCAAACGCGGATTCTGAACGAACATTCCCACAGGAATAGAAACGTGTTTTAATACGGCGCGTCCTGTTTCTCGAGAGGAAATTATCATTTGTCTTATAAGCGGCTCTGGATGCGGCTTGTAATCCGTTATGTTGTGTCTACGTGGTAAATAGGAAAAATAGTCAAGAATGATGTATAATTGCCTAATATTGAAGTCGAAGTTGATTTGAAGTCGTCGTGGCCTAACGGATAAGACGTCCGATGTATTCGTGTGTAGCGATGCACCGGTGTTCGAATCTCAGGCGGGTACCAAATTTTTCTAATGAAATACGTACTCAATAATTGTTTACGATTGATTTCCACGGTGAAGGAATAACATCGTGTAATAAAAATGAAACCCGCAAAATTATAATTTGCGTAATTACTGGTGGTAGGACCTCTTGTGAGTCCGCGCGGATGGGTACCACCACCCTGCCTATTTCTGCTGTGAAGCAGTAATGCGTTTCGGTTTGAAGGGTGGGGCAGCCGTTGTAACTATACTTGAGACCTNAATTGTTTACGATTGATTTCCACGGTGAAGGAATAACATCGTGTAATAAAAATGAAACCCGCAAAATTATAATTTGCGTAATTACTGGTGGTAGGACCTCTTGTGAGTCCGCGCGGATGGGTACCACCACCCTGCCTATTTCTGCTGTGAAGCAGTAATGCGTTTCGGTTTGAAGGGTGGGGCAGCCGTTGTAACTATACTTGAGACCTTAGAACTTATATCTCAAGGTGGGTGGCGCATTTACATTGTAGATGTCTATGGGCTCCAGTAACCACTTAACACCAGGTGGACTGTGAGCTCGTCCACCCATCTAAGCAATAAAAAAATATATATATATATAATTTTTTTTACAAGAATCTCGATCTTGACCTAGGATCATACCTAAATTCCGTGGTAAAATCAGAAGACTTAAAAAAAAAGGTTGTAAAACTCCCTGGTTACATAAATTACACGTCACCTTGAAACTGCTGTATTCTATTAATTAATTTTGTTTTAATTGAATCATTTAATTTATTATTTGGTTACAAATAAGCTAATACACAGCAATTATTTCTCTTTGTGTCTCTGTCAACAGATTTCCTTTCTTTTGTTTCGTAGTTGAGGGTATTATCTTCTTTTTGGAATAAGCTACTTACCTACTTAATTTAAATAACAAAAAAAAGTGAGTACGTACTTGTAGGTACCCCCACCCCGCCTGTTTCTGCCGTGAAGCAAAAATGCGTTGCGGTTTGAGGGGTGGGGCAGCCGCTGTAACTATAATGAGACCTTAGAACTAATATCTATAATCTAGAACTAATATCTATAGAATTAATATATAAAGGTGGGCGGTGTATTTACGTTGTAGATGTCTATGGGCTTCAGTAATCACTTAACACCAGGTGGGCTGTGAGCTCGTTCACGCATCTAAGAAAAAATAAATAATTAAATAACAAAAAAATATTACACAAAACGAATCTAAGCTTTGAGGCTTTGAGGTTATTGTGGTCGATTTTTAAACGTAGGACGATCAAAACTAATTTTAGGAGTAAAATATGTATGTGCAATTATCTCTGGAAAATTTCATCAGACAGAGTTACATAAAAAATATTGAGTACGTGATTCCTTTGTTTGTCTATTTCTGTTATTTTAACTATGGCAATAAATCTGTTATTATTCAATGCGTTGCGTTTCACGCTCCCTCTAGTTAAGAGAGTCGTGACGGCAACGAAGCAATGAAATGTCACAATTAATTGACGGGTTTTATGTTCTGCGATGTTCTCGGGTATTTTTGGAAGGTCTCTGTCTCTTTTTAGATGTTTCGTAGTTCGGACAATGTTAAGATTTCGTTATTTTAGAGTTTTAATGAGTATATGCTTTTCTATATACGTAGGTAAACTCAAGGACCACTCAATATTAAGTGGATACTGGACACGATAATGTAGCGACGTTTTATAGTTTTAAAAGGTACTGGAGTAAGGCCCCGCAGAAGTCGAAACTCAACTATAATTAATTGAAATTATAGGTTTGACTATTATACTTCTATAATCACAGATTTCGCCAAGACTACACTTTAGACAAATATTAACAAAGACAAAAAATATTTGATCTATTCTCAATTGGACCATAGACTTTATGCAATAAGAAAATGCATGTGTGTGTGTGTGTGTTTCAAATATATGGTAGTGTGTGTAATGTTTTCTTTATTGATTTAATGTATCTTTTATGCATTATTTTAAAAAAATATTAGCATTGTGCACTCCTTCTCTATATTCTCTGTAAGTGTGGGAAATTTCATACTCCTCCGTTCGCGTAATTTTCGTAAAAAGGAGTACAAAGGTTTTGGTTCACGTATTAATATATAGATTATTGTACATGAGAGTCTATTATCTAATGAATCGAAACCCATGACTATATATTTTAATTTTTACAATAATGTGTCTCTTTAATGTCTCAAAATGAAATCTATGAACTGCTAACATCGCGGTGTCAGCCGCTCATCCTGTGTGATACTCTCCGAACGCGCACCGGAAGACATTATTCGTTAATTTTATAGGCGAATCATGATGATTGATAAATACATTAGAGTGATATTTAAACATTTACATGATCGTGTTTCGAGGCTATTAGAAGAAATAGAAGACTTCCGTGAACAAGAAACGTTTAAAAATTGTCATAAATTGAAATTTTATCAAGTGCGCGCTGTGAAAAAGTAAATCTGTTTTTCGATAATCCGCAGATCTCGTTAGGCTGTGCCTTATTACTGATGTCCGTGAATGACAGCAACATAAGTATTCAGAAACAATACATATTGTGGTTCTGGATAAAACACCTTTGGCTAATGATGGTTGCCATCGACGAAAGCGCCATCTACAAATTCAATAAACGTCATACGTCAAACCACATTGACAGCAAAAACGCCATTCTATGTCATTTGTGTCACTTCATATTATTCATAACTTTCGAACGTAACGAACTAACAGCTTTTTTTGTAAAATCGAGGGTATACGAAATTATACACCTTTTTGTAAAATCGAAAATATACGAAATTATACAGTAAAACGAATTCTCTTTTGGATATCCTCCGTTCCTGCGTCTACAATAAGATCTTTTTCTTCTTCTACCTATGCTGATAGCCTTGAGAGGCTATTTCCCCCAACGGTTATCGCTTCTCCGGCTAATATGACCAGCCCATTGCCGCTTCACCTTACTAATAATGAATACACCTTTCGATCGTCTGTGACGTCACACTTTTCACCAATTTACCATGAAAATAACTAACGGGACTTACCTCTTCAATCGACGATGAGAACAAGCCCGAACTGCGAACAAAGACAAAGTTAATCATTAAAATGCAACTTCAGACCAATTAGATCTTAAGATTAAACACATAAGATTGAATATCGTACAAATTACCACACTGTAAATATCAAAAGTGAAAATGATTCTACATTCTCAACGAGCGATCTTTTTTTATTAAACTAATAATTTCTGTAAATAATTAATCTAAAATATGTAATCTAACAGGTGAGATGCAAAGAAAAGGTAGAAAAGACCTATGCTTGGATCCGTTTAAAATTGTGACTCATTTTGGACAAATGACATTAGACCATAAGGTTGTGAAGTGAAGGTTTAGCTTGACGCGAAAGAATGCTACAATTCTTGAGACTTGATTTCAAATATTTGTTAGGTATTCAAATCCCTTTTAATTCATTTTGAGATTGTTTTTGTACTGCTACCAAAGCTTACGGAGCTGGTGGTAAATGTTTAAACAGAGTTGCTCGCTGGATCTTCTCAGTGGATCGCGATTCCGATCCGGGGGTCGATTCAATGAAACCCTGCTCTTGCGGAGGTAATAATAGTAATAAAGTCGTCGTGGCCTAACGGATAAGACGTCCGGTGCATTCGTGTTGAGCGATGCACCGGTGTTCGAATCCCGCAGGCGGGTACCAATTTTTCTAATAAAATACGTACTCAACAAATGTTCACTCACGATTGATTTCCACGGTGAAGGAATAACATCGTGTAATGAAAATCAAACCCGCAAAATTATAATTTGCGTAATTACTAGTGGACCTCTTGTGAGTCCGCGCGGGTGGGTACCACCACCCTGCCTATTTCTGCCGTGAAGCAGCAATGCGTTTCGGTTTGAAGGGTGAGGCAGCCGTTGTAACTTACTTGAGACCTTAGAACTTATATCTCAAGGTGGGTGTCGCTTTTACGTTGTGGATGTCTATGGGCTCCAGTAACCACTTAACACCAGGTGGGCTGTGAGCTCGTCCACCTATCTAAGCAATAAAATATATATATATATATATATATATATATTAGCAACTGTTTCAGGTCTAGCCCGTGAGTTCACCTCCCGGACCGGTGGAAGTAGTTACAATAGCCCCACTAGGTTACCAACGATTAGGGAGGGGAAGAAAAATGCTTATAACTATCGCCAATGCCAGGTAAAAAGCCAAACACTGCCCACGCTATTATTAGAAGCACGCTCGAAAAAAGATATGTTATAGCGATACGACAATTTCGGGGTATTCCGAAAGCCCTTGTCGGCTGTTATCGAAAGCTTTCAGCTTTCACGTTATCATCCATTTGGTTTTTCCACGTAATTGCCATTTCGAAGCTTTTACATCGTTTATTAATCGAGTAGAATTTCCGTGTTCACGAACGATTTGTACCGTCCAGGGAGGGCGACGTGTAATGAAACTTGGGAATGTAATTGTGTCATTTCTAGGACAGTGGTCTGATTGACTCAGGAGCAGAGGTGTTCATCGAAACAAGGACTAGGTCTTGGACGATTATCGAACGTATTTTCTTAGCAGTAAGCTACAGTTACAGACGAGAAATCCAGGCTATTCTACGCGATATCATTTGATAGACGTCACCGCTTCACAATACCGAGGGTCATTGTGATTTCTGTGGACTAGTTCACGAGACAATCAACCAGAATGTCTCTGACCACACACGAGGTCGAAGAGTATATTGCAAAACAGATGGGACAGTGGTATCCCACAATGCAACAAGCTAACAGCTACCCATTCCCACAGCGTCGCGACATTCAGCGGAAACGCAATGACCTTTCTGAACCGATGCCTAAAAATATTAATCTATTAAAAGAAAACAATAAAACGAGATGTTTTATGTACGCGTTTCGAGTTTATACCCGTCTACAATTTTGTTTTGTACAGGAGTGTCGTGGCCTAAAGGTTAAGACGTCCGGTGCATTCGTATCTAGCGATGCAACGGTGTTCGAATCCCGCAGGCGGGTACCAATTTTTCTAATGAAACACGTACTTAACCAACGTTCACGATTGATTTCCACGGCGAAGGAATAACATCGCGTAATAAAAATCATACCCGCAAAATTATTATTAGTGTAATTACTGGTGGTAGGACCTCTTGTGAGTCCGCACGGGTAGGTACCACCACCCTGCCTATTTCTGCCGTGAAGCAGTAATACATTTCGGTTTGAAGGGTAGGGCAGCCGTTGTAACTATAGTGAGACCTTAGAACTTATATCCCAAGGTGGGTGGCGCATTTACGTTGTAGATGTCTATGGGTTCCAGTAACCACTTAAAACCTCGTCCACTCATGTAAGCAATAAAAAAAAACCTTTGCTATCTTAATAATCTTAATACCGGTGGATTGATAAAATCAATCTGGCTGCCCCAGGGTAATGCATGTTTCTATATACAGATCGCAGTCTGGCACACTCGAAGTCCGAATGCGTAGTTGCAAGTCATTTCATCTTCACGCGATTCCCATTCGGTTGTAGATTCAGCGAAGCACTGCTCTTGTTAGGGCTAGTGTTAGCAAATTCTCTCAGGCTTGGAGCCCCGTGAGCTCGCCTACACTGCCCTACACATCCGGTGAAGCCAGAACCGCACGAGGCTACAGACAGTAAGGTGAGCAAAAAAACATCTTTATGAATTTTAAGGACTTATCCGACGGATCATCAGTTCCTTCATTATGTTCATAATATTCCTAACGTCCATGACGGGTACAACTCACCAACAGATAAGTCGTATACACAAGAAATAAAATAAAGTAACATTTAAAATTGGTGTAAAATAACAAATTTAATGAGTAATTCTTTTTAATTGATATGGATGATCTTTGACAATGACGTCATTTCTTTATCGAGAGTTTCTCGAGTTTTACTATTATTTAAAATTAAATAAAGCACACCGTTTTCCTTGAACTTTTATCCGGTGAAGCCACATTAACTACTCGAGACTACAGACAGTAAGGTGAGCAAAAAAACATCTTTATGATTTTTAAGGACTTATGAGACGGATCATCAGTTCCTTCATTATGATCCTGATATTCCTAAGGTCTATGACGGTTACAACTCACCAACAGATGAGTCGTATAAACAAGAAATAAATTAAGTAACATTTAAAATTCGATAAAAAATACCAAATTTAATGAGTTTACTTCTTTTTAATTGATATGGACGATCTTTGACAATGATGTAATTTCTTATCGAAGAGTTTTTCGTATTTTACTATTAATTAAAATGATTTATTTAGGTATGTTCAAATTTATTTATTATGATTATTTAAAATTAAATTAAGCACACCATTTTCCTTGTTTCTTTTATCTTTGAGTGTTTGTGTTTTGATATATAAAAAAAAAGTTATAGCACTTACCAACACCAGAGACTGTCCTGCTTCTCTTTCGGCCTTCCAATCATTTTATTGGTATCACTCACTTACTAACTTAGCATTTTTTTTTTATTGTCTTTTATCTGACAACTATTCGTATCGATATTACTAAATTTATGTACTTTTTGGTTGAATTGACTAATTAAATCCGTACAGTTTATCAATACACTGAATGATGGTCTGCGGTTTTGGCTGACCCGACTTTACAACATATCTATTAGAACGATTTCTTCCAATAAAACACTTGTATTAATTTATTATAAGAATTTTTTTAGTGGCGTTTCATTTGCGACAGGTCTAGTGTTACAACACTGCGACGTGACCCTCGACACATGAGGTCGAAATTTCACTTAAACCACGACTAACCAATCTTAAAACCGGCACGTTTGTTTGCTTGCCAGCAGAAATAGGCGGGATGGTTGATATTTTTTTATAGCTTAGATGGGTAAACGAGCTCACAGTCCACCTGGTGTTAACGGTTACCGGAGCCCATAGACATCTATATAACCTCAATGCCGGCCCCCACCTCGAGACACGAGTTTTAAGGCCTCAGTATCAACAGTACAATTTGCTGACAGGCTGCTCCACCCTTCAAACCGAAACGCATTATTGCTTCACGGCAGAAATAGACAGGGTGGTGGTACCTCCCCGCGCGGACTCACAAGAGGTCCTACCACCAGTTTGTGCAATCTTATTGGTTAATATTTCTCCGTTTCTCCGCTCCGCTGCCTCGCTCTGCTCTGGTTGACAGGCACCCTTATGGATGGATTGTTATAGGGCTTTATCTATTCACAGGGTGGTATGTGAAAATCTCCGAACGCGTTCCCGTACAGCATCAAAATCACAAAACGAATCACTATCGACAAACACAAACACGCTCGTCCTGATAACGCGAACACTATACTGATATTAAATCGTAATATCTCACATTGAGCGAAAACAGGTTACGTAAAAAAAAAAAAAACTTATAAATATATTGACAAAAGTTGAATTGATGATATTTTTTGTTGAGATTATATTCGAATGAAGGTTCTTCCTTTCTGACTTGTTTTTTTATCGGAATGTTATACTCATTATTTTCTTCTGTCTTATCGAGTTTTGTTTTTACCTACCTATTCTAGTAAGCCCAATAGGTCATACTAGATTCATCGAGGAAGTAGATGAGTTCACGGGGCTCTAACTTAACGAATTTGCCAACACTAGCCCTAGCAAGAGCAGTAGATTTTTTTTTATTTATTGCTTATATGGATGGACGAGCTCACAGCCCCCCTGGTGTTAAGTGGTTACTGGAGCCTATAGACATCTACAACGTAAATGCGCCACCCACCTTGAGATATAAGTTCTAAGGTCTCAAGTGTAATAACAACGGCTGCCCCGCCCTTCAAACCAAAACGCATTACTGCTTCACGGCGGAAATAGGCGGGGTGGTGGTACCTACCCGTGCGGACTCCCAAGAGGCCCTACCACCAGTGATTACGCAAATTAAATTTTTTTGCGGGTTTGATTTTTATTACACGATGTTATTCCTTCACCGTGGAAGTCAATCGATGACGCATCTATACAGTTCAGAAAACTATGATCTGTTTTTCCAGTTCTAGCTTTTGGTTTCCAAGTTTGTGTCTATATTCGATTCCAATAAGCCACGACTTATCACCAGAGTATCGTTTTCGATGTGCTCGCGGCGCGGAAACCGGTTCTTTAAGCCGGTTAGCTGAATGACGTATACCTTTGCTATCTCAATAATCTTAATACCGGTGCATTGATAAAATCAAAAACAGATTGATCGATACGTTTCAGATATAAGGTGTATTACACATGTTCACCAGTGCCGGATTAAGCAAGCGCGGGGCCCGTAGCAAATTATTTCAAAGAGCCCTTGATCTACTATGGGTTCTTAAGTATAAAGTTGTAAAATAACTTAAATCGAGCCATCTCAATTCTGCTATACATCCACACTGTGTCGGGTAAGAGTGCTTGCATACGTCAGACTTTTTGTGGAGCTGATTATCAGGCTGATTGAAATTCTACACGTTTATACAAACAACTTTTTCTTAATAAGTCACTCAAAAAATTAAACTCGGGCAGAGATGAGTAGGTTTAAATATGCGGGGCCCCCGTTCGCGCGGGGCCCGTAGCAATTGCTACTCTTGCTACATGGTTAATCCGGCACTGATGTTCAAACATATACACAAAAAAAAAAAAAATTATAGATATTTCTAGAGGTTTAAGAAAATTGAAACCTATTTTTACAATTTGGTCTCGCGTTTTTTTCTTTATCATTAGATTATTTTCGACGCTTCAAATACTTTATAGTTTTCTTGGACATGAATAACTCGTCTATAATACATTTGAAGGTCGACTACCGTCAATTTTTCTATAAAAAAATATTCTTGACTTTGGCATTTCGTTTCACAATGAATAAAATATGAAATAAACTGATGTTTTCTTCAACTCTGACAGTTCATATGACTTAGAAGTCTTAGTAGACTTTAGAAGTCGTCGTGGCCTAACGGATAAGACGTCCGGTGCATTCGTGTTGAGCGATGCACCGGTGTTCGAATCCCGCGTACGGGTACCAATTTTTCTAATGAAATACGTACTCAACAGATGTTCACGATTGATTTCCACGGTGAAGGAATAACATCGTGTAATAAAAATGAAACCCGCAAAAAAAATTATAATTTTCGTAATTACTGGTGGTAGGACCTCTTGTGAGTCCGCACGGGTAGGTACCACCACCCCGCCTATATCTGCCGTGAAGCAGTAATGTGTTTCGGTTTGAAGGGCGGGGCAGCCGTTGTAACTATAGTTGAGACCTTAGAACTTATATCTCAAGATGGGTGGCGCATTTACGTTGTAGATGTCTATGGGCTCCAGTATCCACTTAACACCAGGTGGGCTGTGAGCTCGTCCACTCATCTAAGCAATAAAAAAATAAAAAAAACTTAGATTTTCATCATCACACTAAGAGAATCCTGGATGTCGGGTTTTAACAAGTGTACGACTCGCGCAAACTGAAGATACTAATTAGGATTGGTATGTTTAGGCAATTACATTTAGGTATATTTGGTGGTAGGCGATTGGCGGAGTTTAAAGACGTCGCAAATTGAATCGCGCAGTCCTCATTGAGATATGAGGCCGGCCGGAGAAAGTCTCACTTTAACATTATAAATATTTTTTTTCCTACCTTACCTATGCACCTATGCTGATAGCCTTGAGAGGCTATATCAGCTTCGCCCTAACGTATAGGTGAGCTCACGGGGCTCAAATCGGAGTGTTGCTAACACTGACCCTAGCAAGAGCAGTGCTTCGCAGAATCTTTTTATTTCATTTTTTTATTGCTTTGATAGGTGGACGAGCTTACAGCCCACCTGGTGTTAAGTGGTTACTGGAGCCCATAGACATCTACAACGTAAATGCGCCACCCACCTTGAGATATAAGTTCTAAGGTCTTAAGTATAGTTACAACGGCTGCCCTTCAAACCGAAACGCATTACTGCTTCACGGCAGAAATAGGCAGGGTGGTGGTACCTACCCGCGCGGACTCACAAGAGGTCCTACCACCAGTAATAAGAGTCTACCACCGGATCGGAAACGCGACCCACTGAGAAGATCCGGCGAGAAACTCAGTGGCAAAAGCATGATCGCTTCTCGTCTCTTTCCATCACGACATACGACGTGGTATTAATACGATTCGCATATGCAACGTGCCTATTCAATTCTCGACCCAAATATTAACATCGGCGGCCTGTTATCACAATGCGACGAAGAGTTTGACGAGCGACCTAACCCATGGCATAACCTACTAAGTTTCTCGCTAGATCCTGTCAATTGGTCGCGATCCCGATCCAGTGGTAGATTCTTTCAGGCTTAGCCTTAAGTTTGTTAGAAGGTGAAGCCAGAAAAGACCCTCGAGGCTAATGGTAGATGGGCAAAAAAATTAAAATCGCGACAATTTCAGATCAGAGTTTGTGTCTCAGTTAAAGAAATTCGGTATCCGAGGTCTGAAGCTTATTGTTCAGTGCTATCCCTTGTCTATTTCAACTCTCAGACACAGCCCACTGAGTTTCTCGCCGGATCTTCTCAGTGGGTCGCGTTTCCGATCCGGTGGTAGATTCTGCGAAGCACGGCTCTTGCTAGGGTTCGTGTTAGCATCGTCGTCAGGTTTGAGCCCCGTGAGCTCGCCTACTAGCCACGGTTACGCTGAAATAGCCTCTCAAGGCTATCAGCTTAGGTAG